TCCTGAAAGGGTCTTTGGGACCCCTGGGAGTTCCTGACCCACTTGGAGAATTGTTAGAACTTAAAAAAGGAACACATTTTAAATTGTGATCCAGTAGGCACATGTGTATGCATATGCACTACTGAAACAAAAGTTTCAGGAAACAATACTGGATTAGTTATCTCTTATTATATAAAAAGTTACCACAAAACTTATTGGATTAAAAAAAAAAACATTATCCCACAGTTTTTATGAAGAGCATAGCTTGGTGGTTCTGGCTCAAGGTATTTCCTGAGATTGCACTGAAGATGTCTGCTGAGTCTGCAGTCACCTGAAGGCTTGACTGTCGTTGGAGCATCCTTTTCCAAGCTATCTCACATGGCTGTTGGCAGGAGGCCTCAGTTCCTCACCATGTGGCTCTCTGTTGGTTAGCTTTAATATCCTTACAACATGGCAGCTGGCTCCCCCAAAAGCAAGTGATCCAAGAGAGTGACCAAGGCAGAAGCCCCAGTGTCTTGGAAGTGATACATGATCAGAAGCAAATCGCTTAGTTCACGTTCAAAGAGAGGAATTTTGCTTCCCCTTTTGAAGGGAGGAGTATCAAAGAATTTATGGAGATACCTTAGAACTAGTACAAATACTTGTCAGGAGAGTGAGTCCTCCATGGGTCTCTTTTTTCCTGCATGTCTTGCTGGGTATGCTAAGGATGCAAGGCCCTGACTGCTTAACCTGGGCCATTTCTCAGGATTGTGTTTGCAGCGAGCCACCTTGAGGGATGAGGTAATGTCTCCTGTTGGGAGAGAGCAGGCTTACTTACTGCTTACTATAAAAGTGGTGGATTCCCTAATCTTAATGTTCTTAAGCTGTGATGCAAGCCCACTTTCATGTGTAGTGTCTATCTGGTCCTCTCTGTGTCACCTTCTGGGACTTGGGAGTAAAAGGGAGCCGGTGCATGCATGATGCTCATACTGCTTGCTGTGCTGTGAGTAGTAAAGTTCTTTGTCTCTGACCCAGGACTCTCATGTGCTCTGCCTGATAGGCAGAGGGAGAATGTTTGAAATAACCACCACAACAGACACTAGAGAGCTAACAGAATATTGTCTTGGAAGCTAACTAAGGGACTTTCGGGACTCCCGGGGGCAACATTATGGGCTCAAACTGAACAGCTGCATGATTTTCTCCAGCAGCAATCAGGATTCCAGGTGTATAATCAGTGAAAGTGTTTCTTTTGGATTAATCAAAGGCAAGGGAGCTTGGAATGTGAAATTACTTTTTCGCACTTTCATGGTATGATCTACGTACTGTAAACTGAACATATTTTAAATATTTGGTGAGTTTTGATGTGTATACGCCTGTGAAACCATTATCCCAGTCAAGATAATGAACATATTCATCACCCCAAAAGTTTCCTCCTACCTCTTTATGATCCATGCCTCTCTCAACTCCATCCCCGGGCATGGACTGATTTGCTTTCTGTAATAATACATTAGTTTTAGAATTTTATGTAAATGAAATCATACTTTATAACTTTTTTTTGGTTAAAATTATTAGTTGTCAGCTGTTTCAAGTGCAATAATTATTTTGTGTTTGTGTGGCATATTTTTAAAAGAAATTTATTTTTTAAAAAAACTCTCTTCCCTAAAGCTCAAGAGATTAAAAAGCCAGCATGAGGGCTTCAGACAGAGCTAGTGAATTTCCTTCTTGTGTTGTATAAGTGCATATAATTCTGATAATAACAAAGACTCCACATGCAAATTCTGTTTTGGATCTGAAAGTAACTTGAACGTTAGAGTGCACCTGCTGATGTTGAAACCTTGATGTGGATTTTTGTTAGTGGATCTTAGCCTGTTCAGTGTGATTTGGTTACTCGACTGCATGAAAATAGAGTTCTGTACAAGAGCACAGTTGGGAATTTTTTTCTTGAATGTGGCAGTTTAAAGTTCTGATGGCATGATTCCTGAGACTCTGAATTATTACTCCTTATTTTGTTTTACTTATTTTGCCCACCATCTTTTTAAAAAAACTTTGTTATTAATAGAAAAATAAATGTGGTTATTTAAGCTTTACACTTGGGAAAACCTAAAATGTGCCCTAAAGTTTAGGTTTAGAGTCCAGATTAGCAGGACACACTGCCTTAAAACTCTGGAAGCCTTTAAAATCCTGTGGGCAATTGAGATGTTAACATCAGCAGCTGGTGGTGGTTAAGCATTGTAGCTAGGGGCCTCCAGGGCTCTGGAATTGGGTGCCCTAATTAAAATCTGGACCCTACCACTCAATAGCTGTGTGACTTTAGATAAGTTGTTTAATACCTATAGGCCTCACTTTCTTTATCTGTAAAATGGAGATAATCACAGTACCTATGTTATAGAGGGCTTATAAATGTTAAATTAAATCTTATGAAATTGTTAGCACAATGCCTGGCATGTGGTAAACACTCAATATTAGCTTTTGTTATCATTCAAGGGGTTCTGGATAATGAATGGCTCTCTTATTTTACTCAATATTCAGATTACTTAAAAAAAGAAAAAAAGTTGCATCCCTCTTTGATTTTGAAAAAGAATTCACTCAAACAGTAATATGTAGATTATTACTTCTCATCTATGTTACAGCCCAGATTAATCATGAAAAGGAATTTTTACTTCATGAGCTAGGAAAGGAATTTCCTAACATTGCTGGCAGAATATTGCAATTCCTGAACTTTGCGCATTCTTGCTATTTCTGAGGTGGAACCTTAAAGGTTTGGGTTCAGAGTATCTCCTGTTTTGCTTGTTGTTACCCGAGGGCTGTCTTTACTGGGTGTAATGTCACTGGAGTAAGGATGAGACTGCCAGTGTATTCATATTTCTGAAGATCTTTAACTTAAGTTTGGCTAGAATATATAGACCCTTTAAAATCTTATTTTTGACCATGTGATTTTACTTGGATAGTGTTTTCAATGAATAAACACTTATAAGAATCAATTCTACATAACAGAGGATTTTTGGAGAATATTATCTAATATGCTAAAACCTGTTACTTGACCTAAGCCATTTCTTTGGTAGAATGATGTTAGGAAATCACAGAGATCTAGTTTAGATCAGTATTGATTTATCTTTGAGAGAAGTGTGGAAAGCAGATAGCTATGATATGTCTTTTGTTTTGTTTTGTTTTGTTTTGAGGAAGATTAGCCTTGAGCTAACATCTGCTGCCAATCCTCCTCTTTTTGCTGAGGAAGACTGGCCCTGACCTAACCGCCGTGCCCATCTTCCTCTACTTTGTATGTGGGACGCCTACCACAACATGGCTTGCCAAGCAGTGCCATGTCTGCATCTGGGATCTGAACTGGTGAACCCTGGGCCGCTGAGGCGGAAGGTGCGCACTTAACCACTGTGCCACCGGGCCGGCCCCCGATATGTTTTTAAAATTTGTTTTAATTATACTTGTAGAATATGAACATATTTTCCTTTTAAAAAATTCAAGGTTTATTGTAGTCTGAGTATGAAAGCTTTATATGTGAAGCTAAAGCCTCCACAAACATTCCTCCCCATCTCTCCTTAGAAATACGAGTGCCCTCTCCTGCAGCCACTGCTGTTTCAGTGTGGCATTTCTCATGTGGGAATTCTCTGTATGTTTTGTATGCAGATTTTTATGCATATGATAGATATATTTTTCACCTAGTTTTTGGTTTTTCTTTTAATTTAGCTTATAGTATTTTTTTGGTATATTTTGTCACTTTGACATAGTTAAATGTATTAGTTGTTTTTCTTTATGATTTTTGCTTTCTGTTTCCTGTTTAAGAAGCCATATCTTCACTTGAGTTCCCAGGGATATTCTCCTAAGTTTTCTTCTAGTACTTTTAATAGTTTTAAAATTATATCTTTAACGTACATAAAATTTATTTCTGTGTACTGTGTGAAGTAGGAATGTAATTAGTTTTTTTCGAAGAGCACCAGTTGTTTAAACCCCATTTATTAAATGATTTTTCCTTTCTTCATTGTTTTGACATGTTACTTTTAGCATATACTAATAAACTCACATATATAATTTAGAGTCTGTTCCTGGGCCAGTACTATAGAGTTTTAATTACTGTAGCTTTAAAAGACTACAAGTCCTTATGAGAAATCCTGGGGGTCAGATGTGGTTTTGGAGTCCAGATTTTTTCCACATAATACCCATCGGACATTATGCAGTGTCCTATAATCATATACATTGTTTTCTCAGTGAAGTGTAGGAATATTCACACTAAGTGAGATACATACAAACAATAAGTGACCTCGTATCAGAGCAGGTCGGGTTTTGCTGCTAAATGAGTTAAAAAGGAAAAACTTATTTTTGGACCTTTTTTGGATTTTTGCATTGGAAGTAGGATCATGGACCCATAATTTATCTTGCTATTTAGGGGACATCTTCCTTTTTTGTTCTATTTCAGATTGTTTTGGTTATTGTTGTCCCTTTAGTCTTCCAATGGAATTTTAGAGCCAGCTGGTTGAGTTACGTGAAGAATCTTAGAGAGGTTTGCATTGGGATTTGGAGTAGCTGGGGAAGAACAGACACCGTTACAGTGTTTTTCTTCTCATCCATGAGCATGGATAACTTTCCTTTTGTTCAGATGTTCTTTCAGTAGAGTTTTATAGTTTTTTCCAAAAATGCTTGCACGTTGTTGTTGGATTTATATCAAAGTTGTTGCTATTGTGAATGAGATTTTTTAAAAATTGCATTTTCTAATTGTTATTAGTGATATACGGGAAAGTATTGATGTTTGTCTATTGATCTTCTGTCAGACCAATTTGTTGAGTTCTATTATCAGTTCTAATTACTTGTCAGTTGGTGATCCTGGGTTTTCCAGTTAGAAAATCATGTATTCGAACATTGAATTTTATCTTTTCCTTGCCTGTCTTTCTATCTCAGTTCTTTTTCTTTTCCATTTGTGTGGTATCGTTTCAGTATTCAGTTTTGAGACGTGAAATATTTTAAAAATGATGTTTATTGTGAAATAAATTGTTTATTATTGGAGGATTTAATGTGTGATATTTTCATTACAGATATGGTGTAAGATATTTCTTCAAGACTGCACAGCTGAGGACCTGTTATTTCTGATTAGCCTTAAGCAGACTTGTAGCCATAGAGAAACCTCACGGAGTTCCGTATTTTGTTTTCTGCTTTACACCTTTCCTGGCACCTAAACTCATCTTGCAACCATGTATGGAAGTGCTCGCTCAGTTGGGAAGGTAGAACCCAGCAACCAGAGCCCTGGGCGTTCACCTAGGCTTCCACGTTCCCCTCGCTTGGGTCATCGTCGAACCAATAGTACAGGAGGGAGTTCTGGAAGCAGTGTTGGAGGTGGCAGTGGAAAAACCCTTTCAATGGAGAATATCCAATCCTTAAATGCTGCCTATGCCACATCTGGCCCTATGTACTTAAGTGACCATGAAAATGTGGGTTCAGAAACACCTAAAAGCACCATGACACTTGGCCGTTCTGGGGGACGTCTGCCTTATGGTGTTAGGATGACTGCTATGGGCAGCAGCCCCAATATAGCTAGCAGTGGGGTTGCTAGTGACACCATAGCATTTGGAGAGCATCACCTCCCTCCTGTGAGTATGGCATCCACCGTTCCTCATTCTCTTCGTCAGGCAAGAGATAACACAATCATGGATCTGCAGACACAGCTGAAGGAAGTATTAAGGGAAAACGACCTCTTGCGGAAGGATGTGGAAGTAAAGGAGAGCAAATTAAGTTCTTCAATGAATAGTATCAAGACCTTCTGGAGCCCAGAGCTGAAGAAAGAACGAGCCCTGAGAAAAGATGAAGCTTCCAAAATCACTATTTGGAAGGAACAGTATAGAGTTGTGCAGGAGGAAAACCAGGTTAGTTTTGTATGTATGATTACGTTTATTGATGGAAGTCATGTATACAAATGAAATGAGCCATTCTTTTTCTTTTCTTTCTTAGGTTTTTCCCTTCTTGGTTCATTTATCTTCCTTTTTCCTATTTATCTTAGTATTTTCTGTCCTCCCTTTCTCAGCCTTTTCTAGATTTGGTTCTGTGCCTTCATTTTTGTCTTGTTGCCATGTCTGCTTGCTCACCATTCTTGCTTGTTTCTTTTCCCTGGCTTCTCTTTCCCTTCGTGTCTTTTCTTTCAGCATATGTTATCTTTTTTCAGTTCTTGTGAGAATATAATTTTGCCGCATGCTCTAAGATCTTTTATCAAAATTATTCAGGCTGTGTAATTTACGAGTGAGATGTAGCATTAAGATTTACTGTAATGTCAAACAAGTCAGTCTTAAAAAAACAAAAAAAGATCAGAAGGCAAATCACTATGTTGACAGCACAGAATGGAAATTAGTTAAAAATATTAATGTGGATTATGTAAATATTTATTAAGTACCAATAGTGAGTTCTTTCTGTTGACATTCATGATAGTTTAACTTCAGGATCCTTATGTAGCTTTTTTTTCTCTAATTCTTCATATGTAAGGTGGAAGAAAGGCAACTTGCTGTGATTGGTTGCTTCTGGAGAATAATTGAGATAATTAGGCATTATAATTACGGGCTTTACAGTTCAAGAGTTAAGTCCTATCTTATGGATACATGAAACATTCATTTACTGTTTTTCTGCGCTCGTCCAGGTTATGTATAGTTGATGTTTTGGCCATAGCCATGTCACATTCAGTGACATGTGACTCCAAAGATGTGAACAAATCATATTCAAGCTCCAGCAATTAAAATCTTAACCATACTTTTTGTTTAAAAGACTTTTAGAACTTTTCTTAAATTTGCAAGTTTGAATTTGCCTCCTTGAAAAAATTCTCCTATAGTCTTAAAGGAGAATTTTATAGTAGCTATCTCATTGTTAGTGTTATACTTTATTTTTGGGTTAGGTTAATAAAAATTATGAAGAAAGTGATAAACTTATTTGGATTTCTGCACTGTTCTTGAATGATGCTAAGAAGTAAAGGAATTTGAAATGATCTCTGTCTCCGATGAAGTAAATCTAATTTAAGATTTCTATTGGTTGTTTTACCATTCTATTACTAACACTCAGTTCAGACATTCAGATCTACTGTTTTGGTTATTTGAAGAAGAACTCTAGTTACATTGTTTTGTATGTTAAAACCCCAGACTTTTTCAGTAATAAAAATAGCTTCTTTTCTGATCATAAAAATAATACAGAAGAACATAGATAAGAAAGCAAAGTTTAGCCCAAATCTATCTGTGATAACTTTGCTATTCCACTGTTAACATTTTGATGTTTCTCCCTAATGAACTATCTTTGTGCACACAGACATACAAATTTTACATGAATGGAATATTATAGGTGTTATGTTGTGACCTTTTTTTAGTCAGCAACATTTCTACTGTATGTTAAAGCCTTACAATATATATCTGAATCATTTTTGATGCCTATATTCTATTGTGTCTGTACCAGTTAATTTAACTAATATCACAGAGTTAAAAATCTTCGGATTATTATTTGATAGTACAATATGAATTAAAAACTATACCTTGAATTCATTTGAGTCAGAGATTTAAAAAATAATTAGAATTTATAATTTTATTCTTTCTCAGGTATAGTATAACTTCAAACTGCTTTCCTTTTACTTTTTAACCAGTGATTAAATTTAATTTGTCCCTACACAAAATCTGAATGTTTTGTTAGTATTCTTAAATCTCTAAGGCTCTTAGAAACCCAGCCTTCTTAAAAAAGAGGAAATGTCCTTTAAAAAGTACTCCTTAGGAAGTTCTTTGCATTTGAATCTTCAAGACTTTAAAAATGTGAAAAGAAAGGAAAGAACTAAAATTGACCCCAGTGTTAGATCTTAAAAGTAGGGACAGGATTCCTAAGTGCTGGCTCAGATACATTGGTATCACCAGTTATATTTATTTAAAATATAGATTCCCAGCTTCAGACCGGCTAAGCAAAATATCTCTGGAAATGGAGTCCAGTAACCTGGATTTTAAACAGGCTTCTCTGGTGGTTCTGATGATAAACCAGTTTTGGGATCTTTAGAATTTTAGTACATCTAATTCTTAACCTAGTCTGTTGCTCATTTGCCAGAGGGAATTTGTGATGGTTCTGTTGCCACTTTTGAGCTCAATTGTGAAAGAAGGGGAAAAAAAAACAAGGGACCATTGGCTCAGTGCTTCTCATCCCTTTTTTTTTTTTGGCCATATTACACCTCAGAGTTGTGACAGACTTCTATACATAGTGATCATTCATTGAGACATTGACCCTCAGTAGAAGGAATGTGTGTACAGGAAAAGGGTTTTTAAAATCTTACGTATATTTAGTTAAAAAAAGCTGTCTAGGTGATTTTGTTGTCTCCTCGAGAATCATTGATGCACAAGATAAAATATTCAGATGATGTATGACAACAGAGTAGGGTCATAGTTTTTCTTTAGTTAACATTTGAGTTGTCAGAAAGTGAAGTACACCACCAAAAGTTAGTCATCCCTAAATATAAAATAATAGTACATTCTAAAAGCTTCTGTAGTTTGGTAGTGAATTGCAAATATCAAGAGAGAAAAAATGAGTTTCCTTTCTTTAGTCTCATGGTAAAGTATCAGTGTAGCATAGGTTTTAGAAACTGTATCTGTGTTCCTATGGAGGATATTAGGTTCTTTTAATTTTGTAAAAATGAGATTGATAAATTTGGAGTATGTACTGATGGTGTATCAGTGCTCAATTATGAAGTTCTTTATATGTATTTAGACAGTTAAGCATCATCGAACTTTAATATTATCTAGTCTCAAATGTATTGTTAATAAAAGTCACAGTTTACTTTTGTTTACCTGAAAAGTGGCTGAGATGTAAGTTCTTTTTAATAAGTTAATAAAATTACACATAAATAAACACTTCCGTTTAAAGGTTCTGCCTTTCAAGAATAGATTGACAGTATGTGTGTGTGTCTTTAATTGTAAATGTAATTTGTGTGTGTGTATATATATATAAAATTTAAAGTGGATTTTGGTTGAAGTTGAATTGAAGTTACTGGATTTATCATTGAATTAGCTAGCCTCCAATTTACCTTTCTGATGATGCTGAGAATATGCCTATCACCAAGATGGTTTTTATTATCAAGTAACTTGGAAATGTCCATTTTAACAGGGAAAAAAACTACTGGCATACTTCTTCTGTATTTTGAAATAATTGAGGCTGCTAATTATGCCTCTGTGTTAAAAGCTGTGTGGATAAAAAGCAATGGCAATATTCTTTCTAATTATCAAGCTACATTCAAAGGCAAAATATTTGAACCTTCTGAAAAGACTATAGTGGGGACTCAGAGCACTTGGGTCCAGTGGAAGTGAAACAGTCCCACAGGACTATGATGCCAAAAAAACCATATGTGCTGAAGGAGGAGGATGACTGCCTTATCTAGATTCCGCCCCTTGCCCTATTTAAACACCAATGCTGGCAGGAATATATTCTTCATGCACTCACTATAATTACCACACAATCCTAAAATTGTATAACTTTGGTCCAAAAACCAAAGGGTGCAATTTTAAAGTAAAGTGAAACACTGCAATGAGGTATGGAGAACTGAGAATGGTAATTAATAGATTATAGTGAGCCAGCAGTGGGTCCTAATTAAACTCTGTGTTCATTATACCCTCCATATCCCTCAGAGGTCGGACATTTTCCAGTTTACAAAGAAGATTGGTTTAATAGGCTTTACAGTAATTAAACAAATTTCACCATTTCAGTTTGACACCAGAGATTTAGATACGTTCTAAAGGTTTGATCTGATTGGGCTACAGAAATCTTAGTCTAGAATCCTGTCAAATGTAAAACACACGTGCTTAGAATTCCCTGATGTGTATGGTTCATTATTATGGAGTTCTGTTTAAAGATTCTTTCTAAAATAAATACCCAGCTGTTTTTATGTCTCATAATCCTTTTGTTACTGAACTTTCAAATATTGGTGGTTGGAGAGATGGAACAATATATGTTTTAACAGGAAATACTTTTACTCTTTCTTTTTTAAACTGACAATGAGGAAGGCTTTTAGTGTATGTTTTACTTGATGAGGAATAAAAATCCAGCTGTGAGCTTGATTGAATTACAAAGCTAATAGGCTTTGGATGATGTATATTTTTTATTATATTCTAACTAACATCTACCAAGATATTGTGATACTTTTTTATGATTATTATGTCTTGTAACAATTTCTATATGTTGAGTTTAGTTAGAAGCTTATTTTAAAAATAATTATTTTTAAGCACTTTCATTGGGATTTTGTGTCAGCAGAGTACATTCTGTTTAATATTATAGTGTGGCAATTGAGTTTATTTTGTATTGTATATTGTTTTCTTTTTTGATTTTGATTTTATTTATTTAGGGATCAAGAGAATTTCAAGTTTAGAAATACGAAAAGATAAACTTACTCTTTGTTAATCTTTGTTTTTTCATTTTTCTCACTGGACACTGGTGACTGTTAACATTTTTATAATTTTAGGTTGTACCTTGATTTGTCACTTGGTGAAAGCCATTATTATTTGAATTTAAATAAACTTTTTCATGAGGTTGCTAATTGTTTCATTGTCATTTAAAGTCTGATCTTAAAATCTGGGATCTATGTCTTGGACTATTTCTTGAGCTTTTCTTTTTGATAATTTTGTTTTAACATAGAGATGAATTATGAATGATTATTCAGTGTATTGTGGATAAATCAGTATTCTAGTCTATTTTCCGGATAGATTTGCTCATTTTTGGTGTTCCAGAAATGGGATGTGTTAAAGGCACTACGAGAATGCCCTGAGAAAATTAAATCACATGTAAAATAGATATATTCCTTTTGGGGAGTTAACATTCATTTTGAGAAGCGAAATTTGTTCATGTGGGTTTATAGAAATTTAAGCTATCCATC